ATAATGACTTGGCAAAGAACTATTTCAGTGAAGTGATAAGGATGAAAGCCTAAGAGAACAGGAGGTAAGAAATGAACACTTTTTTTTGTAGTTTTGCTATGAAGATGAACAGGAGAATCTGGTGGAAGCTACAGGGAGATTGAATGTTAAGGAAGTTTTTTATAAGAGGCATGTTAGCAGTGTAAACAGAATGTATACTATTTTTAACACTGAAGAAATGGACTCCCAAGTTCACACTGTTATATAGGTGTTTTGGTGACTAATAGATCAAAACATGGTGCATGGTGAACTTGGTAAAGTAAGTGGTATGTTGTACCTAAGGTTTCCAAATTCCAATTGATGGCCTAATCACTTGGAAATGAACGATGTCATCGAATCGACTAATAAACTAAGAACAGAATTCACTTTTCTATGGCAAGTGTCCTTCCATCAAAGAACCAGAACTTTAAAATGAATCAGTCCATTTTCTTAACAGAACGGTGGAATGTATTCATAGCTGTATGTTCTATATACTGTACTGAAAATAATCTTTGTATTCTGAAGATTTTATGCCAGTTCCATTCACTTGGTGACTTGGAATGATGCCAAAAATCCATGCTAATCTGTAATTCATGGGACATACATGAGGTTTTTGTTACCCGCCCCCCTAAAACACCAAAGCACATTGTTTAGGGATATCAAGATATGTAGAAAATGATTATTGCCAAAAGTCATTTAACAGAGATGCTAATGTGAGGAAGAAAATTGGGCCACCTATACTAAAATAGGTAAATCTAGGTAAATTTATTTTAAAAAGCAGATTTCTGGGGATGCTACAAATTTTATATCCTTCTGCAGTCTATTTTTTAAATGAGATATAATTCACATACATAAAATTCACCTTTGAAAGTGTACACCTCAGTGGTTTTTAGTATATTTGCTAAAAAACTTGTGTGACTATCACTAATTCCAGAATATTTTCATCACCCTAAAAAGAAACCCCCTACCCTCATTCCCATCTTCCCCTCAGTCCCTGGTAACTACTAATCTACTTCTCATTTCTGATTTGCCTGTGCTGGACACTTTCTGTAAGTGGAATCATACAATATGTGGCTTTTTATGTCTGGCTTCTATCATTTAGCATAATGTTCAAGATGCATCCATGTCGTAGCCTGTGAAAGTACTTCATTCCTTTTTATGGCTGAGTAGTATTTCATTGTATGGATATACCAAAATTTATCCTTTCATCAGTTGATGGATAATTGGAGTTTCACTTTTTGGCTATGATGAATGTCAATGCTGCTATGAATATCCGTGTACAAGTTTTTGTATGACTTTTCATTTTTCTTCAGATATATACCTAGGCATGGAATTGCTGGGTCATGTGATCCTTAGTCTCTTCTAACCTTTAATTCTTTACCATCTCTCAAGCTCTCCTCTCATTGCCAACTTCATGCACTCCCATACTATTTTCTTTAGACTTTCAGGATTATATTATAATATCCCTCTCAGCCTCTTCCCCTGTTGTCCCTCTTGGGTAGCTCATATTATGCTTTTTCATGAAAAGCTCATGACTTTTCATTCTGTGACCTCAAGTTTCTTGAAACTTAATTCCCATGGCATTTTCCACTAAATTTCTGCTACCCAAAAGAACAGCCAAACATCCCATCCTTTAGAACTGATCATGATTTTGTGCCATTTCTAAGATTTCTTTCCCCCTACAACTTCATTAAGAAAACACAAAAATGATAATTGAGAAACTACAGCAGGGTGGGAGTGGAGGAGAAGCATGTCACCATTCGGTTGTTTAGTCATTTAGAACTTTCATGCAGAACCCTAGTAGCCACCCTTCAGGGGAGCTTAACAGCTTTTGCTGGGCAAAGTCAATAATAACCTTGATTATTGGGAACTTTGCTGCCATTCTAAAGTACCCTTTACACTTTAAAAACCTGGTAGGCAAGAAACCTTTATCAGCAGCTTCATAGAGGTTACGGAGATAACATGTCTTAACCACAGAATTGCATGATATTATATTTCTACTGTTTTCCCAAATCCAAAGGGGAGGTTCCAATTTTGCTCCTGATGTTTGTTCCAACTTTTATTGAGTAATCCTCAGAGATACAGCACTGAATCCAGTTGATGAAGATAGTGCCTTTAAGATCTTAAATTCACAATTGATTTCTTTGACAGTAACTTTTTCTCCTATTTCACTCCTTATAAACTTATTCTTCATGCCTATGATGACTTTCACTCCCTCGATGCCTCTGTATTTTCAGTTTATTAGCTAACTTCTGTGATCATTTGTCTTCCTATCTAGCTGGAACCCATGGCAAGCCATTTCAATGGTGCTTTAATTTTTTTATTAATTGATTTTAGAGAGAAACAAACATCTCCACTTGTTTATGCATTCATTGGTTGACTCTTGCATGTGTCCTGACCAGGGTTTGAATCTGCAAACTTGGCATATTGGGATGGCACTCTAACCGACTGCGCTACTTGGCCAGGGCAGTGGTGCTTTCTTCATCATCCTTGATTTCTTAACTCCTTTGTTTAATCTGTGCTAAAATTCTCTAAGGGGTAGCTTATATACTCTCTATTTTCTCCATTCTTGTCCTTGGGGATGCCAAGTCCCATAAAACAGAGCCAGTTATTTCAAGTGGGCACATGTTACTATTTTGAATTCCTTTCATACAAATAACTTCTCTCATAACTATTTATTTCAAGGAACTTCTGCCTTAAAATCCTTAAGACATAATCTCACCACTCACTATCTTTTATACAAAAATTAATTCTTTTATTGAGAAGATCTAGGCCTGCTAATGTGTCTATCCAACACTTCCTCAGTTTTTCTTTAAACCCCTTTTCTCTAAACCTCTTCAAAACTAAGCCCTTTTTATACTTTATTACCTTCTCTTTACTACCTGTCCTTGGTTTTTCATTAATTATTCCTTTCCCTACCTCTTTAAATCCTTTCTCACCATTTTTTTTGTCCCACAAAGATTTCCCTGTTTAAAAAGAAAAAAATAGACCACCTCATCCCGCATCTACATAATGCTACCTCCTCTTTAGCAAAAATGTCAATGACTTTACTCAGGATTTATAATTCTTGAATACCGTGTCTCCTTCATAGCTGGCTTTCAAACTCAGTTCATCTTGTCATTGTTTCCTCAAGCCCTGTTCGGGTGTGTTAGGGAAGCAACCAATCGATGCTTCTCTCAAACATCAATGTTTCTCTCTCTTCCTTCCTCTCTCTCTAAAAACAATGAAAAAATGTCCCCTGGTGAGGAGAAAAAATGGTTATGTTGTTGAATGTTTTTGTAAAGTTGCAAAAGCAAAATATTTTTGCAGTTTTTTCAAGTTTCAGACTCCTAAAACCTGGATTTGCCACTTTATAAAAGGGGATCTGCCCCTATAGCCTATATAGGTAACAAAATTGGGCATGGCTCCCTCTAACTTGGTCACAGCAAAGGATAGAGCTAATTACTATCTTAAGGCATATCTTGGATCTACTGAAGAATTATATTCTTTCCATGTCCAGGTTCCAAGTCTGGTCCTCAGTATTACAGGTTCAGGAACTAGATTTTAAGCAGTTTGACCAAGGTAATCAAGCACTGGGAGATTAATTCATGCTAACCAAACTCACAAAAGGTTAATTTATAAACCATCTATTATCCAGAGTACTCTTAAATGGATCAAGATGGAGACCAAATACAATTATAAAATGTTTAGTTTTCATGATCTAACGTGAAAATAACCGAGCGCTGAAGACCTCCTTACTGCAGGGGAATGGCCTCAACTCCAAATTCTATGAAAATGAAAACCCTGTTTCTTGTGACTTCATCATGTCTGACATACCAGTCTTGCCTGGTTATGTATGGATCCAGTTGGTTTGTGCCGGAAAGATCGCGCCCCCCGCCACACACACCTGCACCCTATTTAGTGGCCATTGGCCAGTATTGTGCATCTCCAGGTCTCCAACAATCCCCAGCCCTTTCCTCTTATTTCATTCTTTTTATCTCCATATCCCTCAGTTGCAGTGCCCAGACTATCCTCAGTGTCCCTCCTAACGTCAGTTCTGTCCTCACCCACCTACTTTAACGTTGCCTCCCCTATTAATCACCATCTCCTGCACTGATTACTCTCATCCCCCAACTTGCCCAGACTGGCCCCAACGCTCACACCGAACCTTCCCGAGGGCGCCCGGGGCCACTCCCTTCTCCGGCTGGGTGGCTGTAGGGAACGCTCCGTCGCGCTCTTTGCATGGTCTCCCTCTTCCATTTTTCTCCCAGTCCTACAAATCACTACCAGTTTTACCCTCTCGGTGGGCATCATAATGGTTTCTTGCCCTCATCTGCGAGAAGTCTCCCGGCGAAGGCAGAAAGGTGTTTGCTTACTTGACAGCGTAGTTGTGGCCAGACGCTGTTGCTAGCACAGCAGTGAACAGACCCGGGCGGAGCCCAGGTGTAGGGAAAGAGTGGTTGGCGCTAAGCCAATCATAGCTCATGACGACAGGGCGCAGCCAATCAGAAGATGGGATGCTTGGCGCAGGGTAAGGACCCGCCCCCTTGCAGCTGGGTGGCCAACGCCTTCGCCCAGGGCTACTTGGAACAGAGCAGGTTCACAGAACCTAGGGACTGGGCACCTTCCGGGCTGGGAGAAAGTGCCCTCCCACCCAAGCTAATTTCTCTACAAGCCTTGGACTTAACAGGTGTTGGTGCCTACCGTGGACGCATTCTTACCTGGGCCGTATCTCTCTCTGGAGACTTTGTGCCTATGCTTGGCGACAGAGTGAGGTCGTTGCCTTGACGACGAGAGCATGCGGCCCGCGGTCCTCCGGAGTGTGAGCTTGGGGCGGGCCGAGGCCGATCTGCCTCCGTCCCTGCTTCACATGGGCCCCATGACTGTGTCCGCTTAAGGAATCGTATTAGCACTAAAATTGGTAGTTTACTAATCAGCATCGTATATACCTGCGAGCGAGATGAATTTCACCTCAAATTTATTTCCAAGTTGAAAACCTTTGAGTCTTTCCACGTGAAAGGATATTAAAGAAACAGTAAGTATATACTTTAAAAGTCTTATATTATCTCGCTCTTTCATGTGTAATGGATTTCAATCTCTTTAACAAAATAAAAAATTAGCATTATTTTAATCTAAATGTTTGGCGTTGGAACCATATGCTTAAAATGCACATATCCAGAAATAACACATTGCCAATTGGCCAGGCTTCGTTTGTATCACCCTTTACGTCCAGGAAAAGAAGGCATGAAAACTTACGGTTTATGAATAACCGTTTCAGGAAACAAGAGGCTTTTTAAGTCGTGATACTTTTGAGGTATTTGCAGGCAGTGCTGCTTGAAAAATAGGTATGTTCAACGTTCTGTGACCCAATGTGCAGTTGGCTGCAAGCATAAATTTGGAGCAGTCAACTTACATAATGTTAGCTTATGAAATCCTTCAGACCATCTTACATGTGCTTAAGGTAATTTTGATACTGTTTACTTTCATTTTTAAATATTAAGGACACCAGCTGCAAAATGTTTTTAAATGATACAGGTTATAGACTCCATCTATTTTTGTCCTTGATGTGATAAACCTAAAGTCTAGTCCTTGATAAAACATGCTGTCTTAGTGGGAGGAAAAATAATTACAGTAAAGAGAGATAAAATTACATTGAGAATTTTTTTTCAAACACAAACATTTTATTTGAAAACAGTTAACAGACATTAAATGGAAGTTAAAATGTCAAATGTATGGAAAGTAGTGTTGGGACACTACTGTGTAAACAGTTTATAGTAGGTAGAACCTATTATCAAAATTAGTAGTAAAAAAAATAAAATAATTTGAGTTGGGATTTTTTTTTCATTCATCCCCTTAACCCCAGATCAATCTCTGGTCTTCTATGTATTTCTATATAATAAAGCCCTAAATTATTATATGTGTAATGCTAAAAATGTATTCATTGGATTATCACAGTTTACTAGAACAAAGAGGATATTTGTATTGTCTTTGCCATCAAGGTACCAAGAGGGAAGCAAGTAAAACATGACAATTCACAATCTGGGCAAGTTAGTCTTAGATTGCCATAAATACAAAATGTAATAGTCTAGAATATTTTTACCTAAGTTTTATGAATAGGTGTTCTTGTATTGTCAGATTTTTAAAAAATTAGCTACAATCATCATTTGAACACATAGTTACCTAAAGATATTTTTTTTCTCCTCAAACTTTTAGAACCATATTGGGATTAAGAGCAATATTTTTTACTTTTTGGTTCTAGAATTTAATTTCAACACCAGATTTAAAAAATAAATTTAACTTTGAAATTGTAGTTTATCAGCCTTTATGTTTCATGGCAATAAAAACTTATGAATTAAACTCTATCTGTATTTGGACTGAAAAGTTTTTTTCTGGGTAAAATAAGAAATTTTATTAAGATTGTCTTTATCCAGAAAATCATATGTAATAGGAATATAAAAGAGTTTTAAACACGAAATTCAAATGATCATTCTCATAGTGAGTAATCATTAAAAGAATTTTTGAAATACTGTATTTGGTAATACTACTACTATTTAATTTTTAAAAACCTGCCTATATACTGTCATGTCATTGCTGTCATTTTGTAAGTTCAATATAAGAATTTCATTACGATAGTAAGAAAAGTAAAGAAAAAAGTTTATTAAAGGTTCTTAGTATTTATTTGGTAAGTGATCATTTTGTGAACAAATATTTTTCCCAATTGAGTAGAAAGTGTATAAAAGTGTTTAACTTTGATCTTTTAATCCTGATATGAAAAAGATAAACACGATCTTCACAAAACCAAATTTACTTGTGACTTTTTCACCTTTGAGTGAAAAGAAATTGTGTTTTTGTAAAGTGAGCTGTAGTTGTTTTGTACGATAGTTCAAGTATTCCTTTATTTGAATTAAAAACATATTGAATTTCATTAACATGATGTTTAGTAATTTAAAAAGTTAATGGCTTCAACTACATTTGTGTTGTCTATTATGAAATACATACGAATATTTTGAAAACATAATTTAGAAATGGAAACAATAAGAAATTGTGAGTCAGCAAAGGAGAGCTGTCAACACAGTGCCTGCTCTAATGTGGAAAACAAGTGGGGAAGAGTTAATTTGCTGAGAGGGTGGGGAAAATCAACATACTCAACATTATTAACTCTATGTTTTGGTTTCTTCAGCAAGAAAAAATCCTCCGGGTTTTGAATCAAAATGGAAAAATATGAGAACCTAGGATTGGTTGGAGAAGGGAGTTATGGAATGGTGATGAAGTGTAGGAATAAAGATAGTGGAAGAATTGTAGCCATCAAGAAGTTCTTAGAAAGTGATGATGACAAAATGGTTAAAAAAATTGCTATGCGAGAAATCAAGTTACTAAAGGTGAGTAAATACATATATAGTTTAAAAAAAGAGTTTCTTGATCAAGATTACATTTTCGGAAAAAATTACTGCTTAAAGTATAAATTTCTTTTGTGACAATGAACAAATAAAATGATTACATATGAATATTCATGTACCTCATTAATATAAACATAACTTTAAAAGTATACATTGTTTCTCTATATATCTATTTGCCTGTCTGTCTGTCTACCTAGCTAGATAGAGCCAGCTAGTTATTCTCTGTATTGGGGGTTTCAAAGACCACCCCAAGGTTCGATAATTCACTAGGAGGACTCATAGCACTCAGCAATAGTTGTACTCATGACTATGACTTATTAGAGTCATAGGATATAAAGCAACATTGGGAGAAGGAAAGGCACATGGCGTGAATTCCAGAGATAGACTTGTTAGAGGCTTCCAAAAATCCACTTCTAGTGGAGTCACGCAGGGCGTACTTACATCCTCTGGCAATGAGTTGTGATATCACATGTGAAATATTGTCTACCAAGGAAATTCATTAGTGACTCAGCGTGCATGGTTTTTATTGGTGGCTGGTCATGTAGACGCCTCTGCCTGGTTTGTACCAAAATTCCAGACTCCAAGAATACAGGTATTCAGCATAATCAATATTGTTTGCACATTGAGCCATTTTTATCAATTCTGGGAATGAAGGGAACACTCCTGAAATCCAAGTACCTAGGTACTGGGCCAAGAGCTCACTTTACAAGGAGACCCGTCTAAGGATAGCAGTCTCAGGCCTGCTATGTTAACTCTCTCTCTTTCTCTAATCAGTCTCCTGAGAAGTTTGTCAATTTTATTTATCTTTAGAAACAACCAATATTTGGCTTTGTTGATCTTCATTATGTATTTCTCACCTATTCCAAGAGCTCACTTTACAAGGAGACCCGTCTAAGGATAGCAGTCTCAGGCCTGCTATGTTAACTCTCTCTCTTTCTCTAATCAGTCTCCTGAGAAGTTTGTCAATTTTATTTATCTTTAGAAACAACCAATATTTGGCTTTGTTGATCTTCATTATGTATTTCTCACCTATTTCATTAATTTTTGTTCTTTAGTATTTCATTCCTTTCACTTATTTTGGGTGGGTTTATTTTGTAGTTCTTTTTCCTAACCTGTTGAGATAGATACTTATTTCTTATATTTCCAACTCCCCCCCACTCCCACCATTTATGCATTTAAGGCTATAAATTTCCCTGTCAGAACAGTTTGGTATGTATCACAGGAATTTTGACTGGCAGTTTTCTTTTTTAAAATTAATTAATTATTTTATTTATTTTTAGACAGAGGGGAAGAGAGGGAGAAAGAGAGTGAGGGAGAGAAATATTGATGTGGGAGAGACACATTGATCAGTTGCCTCCCACCTGCCCCCCACTGGGGACCTGGCCTGCAACCCAGACATGTGCCCTGACTGGGAATCGAGCCAGTGACCTTTCGGTAAACAGGCTGGCACTCAATCCACTGAGCCACAGCAGCCAGTGCTAAAATATTTTCCTATTTCCCATAATTTCCAAACATGTGGAAGTTTTCTAGGTTTTCCTGCCCTGGTTTTTCACTTTTGACACAATTGTTCTGTGATCTGAGTATATATGTACTATGTAAGAAAGATTTTATTCCTTTGAAATTTCTTGATACGTGATTTTGGTTCTGAATATATTAAAAAAATCCTCATGTACTTGAAAAGTATTTCATTCAGTTAGCTTTATTACCTGCCTTGATTAAATCTCCTGAATTCTCACTGACTTTTTTGTGTTTTCTTGTTCCATCCAGTACTGAGAAGAAATATGTTAAAATCTTCTGTGATTATTGATGTGTCCTTTTTTCATTGTCATTCAGTTAAGGTTTAACTTTATAAACAGAAAGGCCATATAATTAGTGTTGAATGCTATATTTAGAATTCTGATATGTTCATATTGAGTCAAATATTTTATTATCATGAAATACCTTTTTATTATCATAATGTTTTTTCTTAAAGTCTGTTTTGTCTGAAACTGATAAGGCTACACTAGTTTAACTTCGGTTAGTGTTCGCAGTGTATATCTTTTTCCATCCTTTTATTTTCAGTTTTTCTCTGTCCTTGCTTAGATCTATCTCTTGGAATATATAGTTACATTTTGCTTTTTATCCTGTTTGATGATCTTTACATTTTAATTGGAATAGTCAGTCAATCTACCTGTAATACAGTTTCTGATATATTTGGCTATAACTCTACTATCTTAATATATGTTATTTGTCCTACTAGTTCTGTGTTCTTTTTTTCTTTCTTTAGATTGATTGCATTCATTATTTATTTCCCTCAAATAATTAGAAAATTATATATTGTTTCTATCTTTCTGTGGTTATCCTAGACATTTATTAAAGTCCAACAGTATCTAGTACTTTTATCCATCTTCCAAACCTTGCAATACTTATCTCTGGTTATTCCCTTCTATCTTTTATACTAATATTGTCATATATTAACCATTCTATATACTATTAAATACCACAAGACATGAGTATTGTTAAGTGTTTGTTTAGGTTTATTTTTACTGCTTTCTTTGTTCTTCCTACTTTTCTTCATCTAAAATTACATATCTGTGATCTCTTCCCTTCTTGTTAAAAATTTCCTTTTGCGAGGATCTACTGTAGATAAAACATTTCAATTTTAGTTTACATGAAAATGTCTATTTTGTTATTATTTATGAATGATACATTTGCTGTGTATGAAATTTTAGGTTGGCAATAATTTTCTTTTAACAAAATGAAAATAATACTGTTTTGTCCTCTGGCTTACATTGTGGCTCTTGAGAAGTCAGCTGTCAGTCCAATTGCTGCTCTTTTGTATATTTGGTTTTTTATGTCTTAACCTTTTTTTTTCAACTTTTTATTGACATGTACATATAGGAAAGTATACATATCATAAGAATATATCTCCATGGATTTTTAAAAAGCTGAACAACCCCCATGTAATCACCGTCTGAATCAAGAACGAGAACACTAAAATAACCCGGAAGCACCCCCTGTCCCCATGCCTTTTCCAGTCACTGCTGCTTTTGCCTTCCATTTCCACTCAGGTCACATCTAGCCTGATTGCAGTCAGCATAAGTTAGTTCTGTTTTCTGGAAACCTGTTCCCATTTTATCAAAGAAGGTTGTTTTTTTGTTTTGTTTTGTTTTGTTTTGTTTTTCTTTTTCAGGATGTGCCACCAACTTTGGAAAGCTCTGCTCTGCCAGCTTTGTGGCCACAGATGCTCTCTTGGTATCTTCCTACACTCCTGTTTGACCTTGACTACTTTGGCAGTTTCACCTCATTTGTTGTGGGTAGGGGTCATAGATCCTACTTAGTTTCATCAGAGATAAACTACATTTATTTTTCTCATTGGCTTTATTGTGTCCTCTGAGAGGACAACAGAGCAATGTGGTATTTTGGCTGTAATTTAAAAACCAGAATATATGTGTATAATTTATACTGATCATGTATTTTACTTATATCTTTTTTATGCTAAGATTTATTTTAGATTGGACTAATTGCTAACCATTTGATCTTGTAAAAACTATTTTGCATTTTTTTAATAACAGCAACTGAGGCATGAAAATCTGGTGAATCTTTTGGAAGTGTGTAAGAAAAAAAAACGATGGTACCTAGTCTTTGAGTTTGTTGACCATACCATTCTTGATGACTTGGAACTCTTTCCAAATGGACTAGACTACCAAGTAGTTCAAAAGTATTTGTTTCAGATTATTAATGGAATTGGATTTTGTCATAGTCACAATGTAAGTATTTAGTTTAAATAATTATTTTGCCAATGATTAATTCTCCAGATACCAGTCATTTAATTTAATGAGATGCTTGTTTAAAGTTTGGACCAGTAAAGTCATAGAAATGAACTGTTACTTAGATATTGCCAATTTTCATGTGTCACAATACATGTATTCTTTCCCCCAATATTTATTAAGAAAAGTTAAGGCCATACTGAAAAGTTGAAAGAGTGTGCCGTGAATATCCATATACCTACCACCTGGATTATATACTTGTGAATATTTTGCTGTATTTTCTTTATGTTGTATTTATTTATCAATTTGTATACTTATCTATCTATTAATGTCTTATTTATTTATGCATCCATAAGTAAATTATTGATATCAGTATACTTCAACTCTACTTCAGCTATGCATATTAACTAGAGTTTAATATTTGCGTTTCTTTGAGATGACATTTACTGAACAAAATGCACAAATTTTAAGTGATGAGTTTTGAAAAATGTATATACCCAAGGATCCATGTATATGTTACTTCAGATTCTCTCACAGAGTTGTGGGCACAAAAATCCTTGTTCTTACCCTCTAGTCACAATAACTTTATATTCTTTGCATATCATAGAAAAGCACCTCCGTGTAAAATGACACAAAATGTAAAATGAATAACTCAACACACTTACTCTTCCACTTGGACCAAATATTTTAGATGACATTTTTTGTGTGATTATAAAAGTAATAGATGCTAATGGTAGGTGTGGGGCAGGCCCTGTGAGCTGCCATGGATGTCTAGGATGTAATAGAAGTTGGAAGCCTATTCAAAATGCTCAGCAATGGCAGATTGCCATTTAGGATGCTGGTACTCTGAAAGATATATTTTAAATTTTTTTCAAAATATAGTTTACTTATATTAGAGAATTAGGTCTAACATTTTGTTTTGCCTAGCTGTAGAATTTTTAGTATTCTCTCACAGTGTCCGTATTTTTTCCTGTAGAAACCTTAACTACTGACCTTATTGACCCTCTTTACATTTCCAATCGCCTGAATAATGCCTCCACGTAGGTGCTTGGCAATATGCATAAAAGCCCCTGTGGCTAAAGCTAAACTACTAATCATTCCATCAAAACTAACTTTTTCTAGACTTCAATTTTTGTTAATGATGCCACTATTGTTTTAGATTCCTAGGTTTAAAGAAAATATCTGAGATTACTTCCTAAGCTCTATAGGTGCTTGATTTAACGTATTTCTAAACTATGTCTCTTCCTTTCCATTCCTCCGAGCACCAGCCTAATTTAGGCCCTTATTACCTCATAGTTGTCCCTCCGCTCTTTTCCCGGCCTTTAGTCCCTCCCTCTGATTTAGCTTCTTTATGGCCAACGTCTTTAAACACTGTTTGGTCAGGCCTCTTCCATGGGCTCCCAGGGCCCTTGACAAAGCTCAGACTTCTCAGGCTGGCGGCTGAGCATCATTCCTCCCTGGTACATGACCTCTACTCAAGAAGTAACATTTCTCCAGAGTCTCCTGACCTATTTCTCTCTGTACTCTTTTTCTCTCTTTGTTATCTTCGCTTGTATTGCCCTTTCATTTCTACATTTATCCAGGTCATACTTAGTATTAAAGGCCTATCTTACAGCTCACCCCTCTCATGAAATTTTTCCTTGACCAGCCAGTCTTCAATTATTCTCGTAGTCTTGGGAGCAGTAACTAATTAACAGAACAATTGATTTGGTGATTAATAAGCTATGTACATCTCATCTAGTATCTTTGATTATTTATGTGAAATTTTAAGCATACATGTTATGCCTTGAGCAACTGGATTTCAGATTTTGAAGAACCAGGAACAATTTTATATGCTTTTATTTCTGTTTATTATGGGGACAAAAACAGTGCCCTATACATGGCAGGTGCTCAAAAATTAATTAACTTGCTTAACTTGGTACACCAATATATGTCACTTCTGTTTTTTGTTTTAGATCATACACAGAGATATCAAGCCAGAGAATATATTAGTCTCCCAGTCTGGCGTTGTCAAGTTATGTGATTTTGGATTTGCACGGACATTGGCAGCTCCTGGGGAAGTTTATACTGATTATGTGGCAACCCGATGGTACAGAGCTCCAGAGCTATTGGTTGGTGATGTCAAGTATGGCAAGTAAGAAATTCTGGTGGTGGTGGAGGGGTGGTTAATGTGTTTCTAATATAACGAAAGATTCCTCTAACGCCAAAAGGAAGTTTTGAAGTTATGAAATTTTATAAAGTGATTTGTAATTTTGGCACTTCCCCTTTAAATATTCTTGTGAAACAACTTGGGGTGAGTATACTTGTTTTAAGAGTTGGGAAATCAAGGTGAGCAAGTCGTCTGATTTTTGTTTTTGGTTTTTTTTAATAGTGGTTTGGAAACATGTTATTTTTCACTTGTAAAGAGTGGTAATGTTGATTGGATAAATCTGACTGTTAAAATTAGGCAAGATGGAGTGGGCAAGGGTTGGGGTAGAAATAATGGAGTGAAATGTTTTTAAAACATAAATTGTTCCTTAAATGACTTCATCAAGGAAAAAGAGATTATAACTTTTATTAATTTTATAGAAATCCTTTTTATAAAAAAGATTTTATTTATTTATTTTTAGAGGGAGGGGAAAGGAGGGATAAAAAGGGGGAGAGAAACATCAATGTGTGGGTTGCCTCTCATGCACCCCTACTGGGGACCCGGGCCGCAACCCAGGCATGTGCCCTGACTGGGAATGGAATTGGCGACTCTTTCGTTCGCAGGTCAGAGCTCAATCCACTGAGCCACACCAACCTAGGCAGAAGCCTTTTGAAAATACTTTCTATAATTTCCGTTTTCAGAGTATACATTATTTAATATTTTCCTGATTACTTGGAGTTCTGATTTACTGCCATACTATAATTTTTATATCATTTTATAATTCAGTTATGGCCTTGAACAATTTCAAGGTAGTTTTCCTTATGCTAATTATGCGAGCATATTCTTTACATTCTTGGGACTGATTTTAAAGACGGTTTTTCTATTTTTTTCTCCTATTAGTTTTCACTTCTCCTTCCTGTTACTGTATGTATCCTTGTGTTACCTCCTTCTGGTAGTTTTCAATGTCTCGTGATTCAAGTTTCTGGAAATCTGACTTAAATAAAATTGGGAATTAGTACTTTAAGTTTATAGGAAATGTCTTTTTATAGGTAATCTAAGGCTTGCTACTATTATTCTCTATACCTCGAATACCAGATAGTAAGATGCAGAGCCGATTCAGTCACAATTAACATATTTGGATGCCAGATTTTACACCACGTTGCTTTTTTTTTCCAGGGCTGTTGATGTGTGGGCCATTGGCTGTCTGGTAACTGAAATGCTCATGGGGGAACCCCTCTTTCCTGGAGATTCTGATATTGATCAGCTATATCATATTATGATGTGTTTAGGTAAGATTATACATCTGCATTTTCAATTTTAGAGGGTTTTTTCCTATTTTTTTTTTATTGTATTGATTTTACAAGGTAGGACACAAATAAGAAAACTTCATATATATATTCACCCATTTTCAGTCTGTCTTTGGTCTGCGTGACGTATGTTCTGATCATGCTCTCACCCCACCTGCAGCCCCACAGGCCGCTACAATAAAGAGCAAAGGTTATACTTATTTCTCTTCACTTTTGCATTCAGTAAATCACACATAGAGAGGATGCAAATGCTTACTTATTACCTATGGGTCAACAAGCATTTGATATTATATGACTACAGCCTCATCTTCAAATTGAGAGACACAGAGACTTTGAAAGCAGTTTGATCTTGCTGCAGATGTACCTTTTGTTAGTGCTTTGGATACAATGTCAAAAATAGACTAGCAAAGTCTTCTCACATTTGTTGAGAATGTGAGAAATATCTACTTTGTGTTGGGAGATAGAGCTTGGAACAAGGGAATAAAGGTAAAATACTTGGGGGATATTTAATTGTTGGATTTCCAGGTTAGAAATTCAATAAACAATATAATGGTTTTATATATATTTTTGCTCAAATATGTATGGAAGTTGAGAAAAAAGATAAAATGCTCAAGTCAGACTTTAGATATAGCTACAAAGTCAGTTGACCAAAAATTAAATTCTTAAATGGTAGGACTGATTTCTCCAGATTAGATTTTGGCCATATGACTATTAATATTTTCATTGTTTTAGTTAACACTTTTATGCTTTGTTGTTATAAATGAAGTGCCGGTAGTTATATTTTTAAAAGTTATAAAATGTTCTTTACCTCTCCTTTTCCTATGCTTTCCCCCACTGTTGAGTTCTATGTTTTAGAAAGTAGTTTAAATGAGTATTTTGAGATAAGAATGTTCATTTCCTTGAACTGACTTATGTCCAAACCACTGTAAAGGCTGCCAGGTAGCCACCACATTCAGAACACTCTTTGGTTCATCTTGTGTGCTGAGAGAGCCCCACTTCCATAAGCAGTGTTCAACTTTTTTCTTTACTCCACATCACTTCTTTGCCATTTCTATCATCATGTATAATGACAGAGATGTGTGCTCTTTTCACCTCTAGGTAATCTCATTCCAAGACATCAGGAGCTATTTTATAAAAATCCTGCATTTGCTGGCGTAAGGTTACCCGAAATCAAGGAAATGGAACCTCTTGAAAGACGCTATCCCAAGCTCCCTGAAGTTGTGATAGATTTAGCAAAGGTAATCATACTTTTGTCTTTCAATTTTCTGACAGGGAATTTATATTATGGAGACTTGGCCTTTTCTTCTTTTTTTTTCTTGTCCAGTTGATCATTTAGGTCAACAGCTTCGTGTGTGTGTGTGTGTGTGTGTGTGTGTGTGTGTGTGTGTGTGTGTGTGTGTTGGGGGGGGGATGGTTAGAGATGGGGAGTGGCTTCAAAGATAAAGACCTGAAAATTTCACTTAAGAAACCATTTAGGGTTAGTTATTTAGCATGTTTTAAGAGTGAAAACATCCTCATAATACATTTTAATGTTTAACATTTAAAATGCAAGCCTTGTTTAAGTGGAAAAAAGAAGAAATACAGGATAAGAAAATAAAAAGAGTAGAGTAGTAGGAAAATTAATTAAAGTATAGGGCATAGGATCATGACCTGTGGTGTCTTGTTAAACTGATAAGGACACATACTACACTTGATCTTATCCAAAATGCCGAGAGGTGATCTGTGGTGTATTGTTAAAGGGGCTTTTGCTTAGCCATTGAATTTGCTGAAGCTGACATTCAAATCATCATTACTTTTGCCTTGTATTTGATTGAGGAATATTAGGGAGAATCTCAATGGAGCAAATCATCTCCAAAAGTGGACATTTGGGGATTATTAGCTCAAAAATTCTGATTAGTTAAGATTGTCCTAAAGTATTGATAAAATAAGTACCTCTAAGACACCAGGATCACATAACACTTATACAAGGTTTTTTTTTTTATTTCTAAGTTTTATATACAACTCATTAAAAAAAAATTTAGTGAGCTTATAACTACCTATAGTAAGTTCTTAGAGTAATACATTTCTACTTTTCTACATAATCTTCTAACACATACAAATATTTATCATTGAGACCAGCTTTATGATCTGTATAAAAAGTGATTTAAAGGGAATAAAAATAAAATTTTTTCTAACTTATGTCCCTTACAGTAGAATTATATAACTTTCAAAACATTTTATTGTAGAAATTTTCAAACAGAAAAGGAAATAGAAAGAATAACATTATAATGAACCCTTATGTACTTGTCATCTACCTTCAACAATTAACAACCTCTTGGACTTCCAGTCAAGATGGAGGCATAGGTAGCTTTTTTTCTGGAGTTTTGATCTATTCATTCATTTGGGCCATGTTTCTTTGTCTCCCAGTCTTGGCAGCCTCCCTGTATTTGTTTCTGTGTATTAAGTAGAGCTGCTTTAACTCCGTGTCTTGGTAGTGTGGCCTAATGTAGTAGGTGTCCCGTAGGTAAACATGGCTTGCCTCTTCACACAACCACAGAAAAAATTACAACTATACTACAAAACAACTGTCATCCAAAATCATCTGAAAGTCAAGCTGTATTGAAGTCCAACAACCAAGAAATTAAAGAAGTCACATTCATCTAGATGAGTAGGAAGGGTGGAGATGTGGAAATGTGGAGACATGGAAAGGGCAGCCCCACACCCATGGGTGGCGGATAAAAATCGGGAGGGACACCTTGGGAGTGAGGGATCACAGCACCACACAAGACCACCCAGCCCAGGGTTCCAGTGCCAGGAACATAAGTCCCCATAACTTCTAGCTGTAAAAACCAGTGGGGATTGGGGCAGCAGAAGAAACTATGGGATTCTCAGGCTTCTCCTCTTAAAGGGCCTGCAACGGACTTAGGACTTAAACAGACTCACTCTCTCTGGGATTCAGCACTGGGGCAGTAGCTAGAAAGGCACAGGGAGAAACTGAAATGTCTGGCATCAGAGTGAGTACTGGGGGACAGCTTCTTCCTGGACAAAACTTCAGAGGCCAGGCAGTAGCCATTGTCCCCTTTCTGAGCCCTCCACCACACAGAGCCATGGAGTGGAGACACCATATCAGAGACTGCATCAACCTGGTTCACACCAGTTGCACTGCCTTTGCGATTACCTAAGGCTCTGCCCCATCCAACTTACCAGTACACTTTTCTACAATAGGCCACGTTGCTAAAACAGGGATCCAAAGCGCTCTACCTAATACATAAAAACAAACACAGTGAGGCTGCCAAAATGAGGAGACAAAAAAATGTGGCCCAAATGAAGAAACAGAACAAAACTCCAGAAAAAGAATTAAACAAAATGGGCATAGGCAATCTATCAAAAGCAGAGTTCAAAACACTGGTTGTTAGGATGCTCAAGAAACTCACTGGGTACTTCAATAGCATAAAAAACATCCAGACAGAAATGAAGGTTACACTAAATGAAATAAAGAAAACTTTACAGGGAACCAACAGTGGAGTGAATGAAGCCAAGAATCAAATTAGTGATTTGGAACACAAGGAAGAGAAAAAGTTCAATTAGAACTGCAAGAAGAAAAAAAAAAAAATGATACGGTAGGAGCCTCTGGTACAGTTTGACACGTACCCACATTTGAATCAGAGGGGTGCTGGAAGGAGAAGAGAAAGAGCGAGAAATTGAAAACCTATTTGAAAAAACAATGAAAGAAAATTTCCCTAATTTGATGAAGGAAATAGACATACAAGTCCAGAAAGCACAGACAATCCCAGACAAAATGGATGCAAAGAGACCCACTCCAAGACTCATTATAATTAAAATACCAAAGGTTAAAGATAAAGAGAGAATCTTAAAAGCAGCAAGAGAAAAGCAGAAAGTTACCTACAAAGGAGTTCCCATAAGACTATTGGCTGATTTCTCGAAAGAAACTTTGCAGGCTAGAAGGACCGGCAAAGTGGTGAAAAGCAAGGACCTACAACCTAGATTACTCTATCCAGCCAAACTATCATTTAGAATGGAAGGACAGATAACGTGCTTCCCAGGCAAGGAATTCATTATCACCAAGGCTAATTATTATATGAAATGTTAAAGGGACTTCTTTAAGACAAAGAAGATCAAAACTATGAACATTAAAAAGGCAATAAATTCCCAACTATCAACAACTGAGTCTAAAAAATAAACCAAGCAAACAAGCAAAACAGAAACAGAATCATAGATACGGAGATCATTTGGAGGTTTATCAGTGGGAGGAGGAAGGGGGAGAATGGGGAAAAGGTACAGGGAGTAAGAAGCATAATTGGTAGGTACAGAATAGAGTGGGGGATGTTAAGAATGGTATAGGGAATGGAGAAGCCAAAGAACTTATATGCATGACCCATGGGCATGAACTAAAGGGCATGGGAGATTTCAGGAGGGAAGGGGGTTACCAGGCAGATGGGGGCAAAGGGTAAAAAATTGGGACAACTGTAACAGCATAATCAATGAAATACATTTAAAAATTAAAATATGACAAAAGACAACAGATTTTTTAAAAAATTAAAAAAGAACAACCTCTTGGCAATCTTCTTTCATTGATCTATACCCTCCTCACATTTTTTTGAGTATTTTGAAGCAAACCTCAGATACTATCTTTTTTCACCTATAAATACCTTAATTATATGTGGAACTTCCCATGTTTACTTAATGCTACTTATTGAGTCCCTTTTATTTTTACTGGTATTGAGGGGTTTTAATGAATGAGAACAAGACTTGCATTGCAATAAAATCATCTTTGTAAAGTGTCTGGCACAACACTAAGCACAGAACAGGTCCTTTCCCTTCTCTTCTGCAAGAGCTTTAACTTTTTTAATTTTACAATAATTCCGTAATACCATGACACATCCAATCAATACTCAAAGTTTTGTTGATTTTCTCATAATTGTTTTATTGTTTCAATTAAGATTCACATGAAGTCTACATATCAAGCAATTAGTTATATATTTTTAAGTTTTCTAAATTTATAAGCTCATCTTCATCTCTTTTTTGTGTTTGTTTAAACCCTGCCATTTAATTGTTGAAGAAACTAGGTTGTTTGTCCCTTAGAAATTCCCACATAAATATGGTTTAATATGTTCCTCTGTGTCCTGTATTTCTTATAAATTTATAGTAGAGTTAGAGCTTGATCAGAATGTCTGGTGGTCTTTCTTTTTGTGACATTAGCAAACATTGGTGGTCCTTGTCTAGAATCGTACTTTATCCTTTATCACTTATTTTAGCTGTTTAAAATTCATGGACTCTAAAGAGGTGTTTTCTATACTTAGAAATTTAAATGTAGGCAGTTTTTTTTTAAATTATGAGATGTATGTGTTCTTTGATTTTCCAGAAATGCTTACATATTGATCCAGACAAAAGGCCCTTCTGTGCTGAGCTCCTGCACCATGATTTCTTTCAGATGGATGGATTTGCCGAGAGGTATAGTACTGATTCATGTTTTCCAGGTCACCTCAACCTAGAAGTGAAATAAGATCTCCATATCAGTAACAGACAGCATCTCTCTACCCAGCTACTTTCATAGGATCTCAAATATTTACCGCCTTCCTTCCATTCACCGTTAGCAACTACAGAATTTGTAGGAGTGGTCCCCTGTATTCACTAAGTTAGGGCTTTCGGTTTTCATGAAGCAGTCACTTCCTACTCTTCTTTCTGTCCTCCTGTGTGGTGGCATGTACCACTCAGGTCACTGATTTATATGTTGCTACCAGCTGTGTGATGCCATTGTCTTGGGTGCTGATGCATTGGCAAAGGTGCCATCTCCTGCTGCTGCCAAACTCACTCCACACCCAGTCCCGTGGCACCGCTGAAGTGCTGGAGACTTCGGTGTGCCCACCCTGTGGGTGCCAGAGCTGTGGGCATGCTCTCTTGTGCTGTCGAGCTGCTGGCATCAGTGCAGCCGAGAAAGCAAGAAAATAGTGAGATGAATGGCAATGACATGACTTTATATTTTTACAAGTCTTCTTAATACCTAGCTTACTATAAGATACCTGAGTTCTCATATTTGCTTCTACATTCAAATAGTTGTGTTATGTTGTTTGAAATATATGAAGAGATTCTAACCTCATATAAATATGTTGTTGGAAAATGAAGGAGTGTTTTAATAGCTTTTTAAGGTAATTTTGGGCATTCTTCCTTGACCCTACAGCAAAAACTTTGATACTATACTAACACTTGACAGTGATAGTTTCTTAAATATTGGCTGTGGTATCTCAAACCATATCATTGAGCTTTTTTACTGTTACATTAAAATCCAGCTTGTACTGCGCTGGCTGGTGTGGCTCAGTTGGCTGGAGTATCTTCTCATAACCAAAACGTTTCAGGCTTAATTTCTGTTTAGGGCACATATTGTACCTAGATTGTGGGTTTGATCCCTGGTCTGGGTGTGTATAATCCCCGATCTGGATATGTAAGAGAGGCAACCTGTTGAAGTTTCTCACATCAATGTTTCTCTCTCCCTCTCTCACTAAAAGCAATGGAAAAAATGTGTTTGGGTGAGGATTAAAAAAAATAATCAAATCCATCTTGTACTTAGAATAGATCTTTTACCCATGTATATTTTTGAAGTATACATTAGTCATTTGGAAAATATTGTTTTGCTATTATGCAGATCTTTAAAATGTTGACATATTTCATTATATAATATCAAAAAGTCACATTCTGTCTTATCAGAAAAGTCTTTAAATATTGGGAATCTGCTAAGCTCACAGCAGTGGGTACAAGTTTAATGGAACTCTTAATTTTGCATAAAAATTTGAATTATCACTGACACAAATATTATCAATTGTTTTCCTTGAAGTGACAAGCTCCTTTATTTTATTTTTAAAGAAAATGTCTGCCAAATACCCCAAGTCTGAATAACCGTAGTTTTTTTGTCAGTCTTTCTTTCAAGTAAAAGGTTGTTCATGAAAAAAGTGGCTAGTTTAGTTTGTATCTCAAACAATCATACAGTGCTTTTCTTAAGATAACCATTGCACTTCAGTTGGCAGCAGAAGTGCTTTTTGCATATTCTCATTTTGTCACAGAGACTATGAAAAAAGACATGTGTTCAAGGATTTAGATTTGATAAAATTAACACTTTTTTTACTGCTTTATTCAGGACATCCTTAAATAAAAGTGGCTATGAAAAATACAGTGACTGCTAGTGCAGTTTGGTGCCACTGCTTCAACTCTTGTTGCGGTGCCAGTAGTTGTATCCACCATTGCTTTTAGACCATCAGTGCAAATGTTAACATGTTGAAAAGGAAGTCATCTTCATATTAAACTATGAATAGCTTTGACTTCTGAACCTCCTGAAAGGCTCTTAATGATTCCCAGGGGTATATGAACCACCTTTTCAGAACTGCTAACCTAGGCCGTAATTTTTCTCATTTTAAATAACACAGCCTAGTTTAATACTCAATTTTTAAAAATAAGTACCTTGAAAACCATTTTTTTCCTTGATTTATCTATCTCATACAATTTTATTTTATTGACAAATGTATTTTTATGTAGGTTTTCTCAGGAACTACAGTTAAAAATACAGAAAGATGCCAGAAATATTTCTTTAGCTAAAAGGTCCCAAAACAGAAAGAAGGAAAAGGAAAAAGATGACTTCTTAGGTGAGGAGAGAAACACACTTGTGGTGCAGGTAAATGTCCATGTTGTAATGTGTATTCAATTTTAGACTTAATATGTCCTTAAGTTTTAGAAGGGAAAAAAATGAAGATTAAAAAAAATTTTCTGAGTAGTGAACAAGTTAACTTTTAGCTTCTTTATAAAAAAAGTAATCTTCTCTTTAGACATTAGGTGTTCACAAAACTTTAACTTATCATGGAGTGAGTGCCTACTGTGTACCAGATTGTTCAATAGAGCTTGTCAGGAAATCATACTCATCCAAGAACATTTAGATGCACATATGCACACCCACATACAAACACATGGACACAAACATGCATACATACCATCTTCCCCTTAAACAATTAGAGAGAAAAATATCCTTATTAGAATTTTATATAAAGTATAGCATTTTAAAATTGAGAGTTGGGTATTGAATTTATTTAAAGTTTGGTTTTTCCTGGTGTGTTACGCAGAATTGGTTCTTGGTAAAGTAATTCAAATCTACCACCGACCCACTCCCATTTTTTCAAGTGAACCAAAAAGGAGAGACTTTTCAACTTTGTGTTTCCTGACTCTAAATATGTAAGAACAGAAGTGGGCATGCTTGGTCCCTCTTCCACACTTTTTCCCTCTGAATTATATATATAAATTAGATATGTATGTAGTATAAATCTGATATATACAGGGTGGGGCAAAAGTAGGTTTACAGTTCTGAGTATGCAAAACAGTTTATTCTTGTATTTTATTAATTATTGTATTATTTTTGCGCCCCACCCTGTATCCATCAGAGTTAGTATGAATTGCATTTCAAATCAAAATAAATATCTGCCCAAGAATCTTGGGTTTAATTTTCATTTCATAGGTAGAATATAGAAAACACGGGCACCAAAAAGTGATGTCTATAGAATTCTGCTTTAGCTGACAAGCACTTTACAGATAGAGGTGATTTTTCATTCTTTTCAGGTCATTAATGTTACTAACATTTTTGTTAATGGTCAGGATTCCAATGCTGATCCCAAAATTAAGGATTCTAGAGTATTTAAAATAAAAGGGTCAAAAATTGATGGAGAAAAAGTTGAAAAAATCAGTCGAGCTTCAAATGCCAGCTGTCTCCATGACAACGCGACTAGCCACATCAAAACAGTGCCTTCGACAAGCCTCAGAGATTGCAGCAATGGCAGTGTGGACCACGCGAGGAATCCAGGCATGGGAATTCCCCCACTTACACATAATCTTTCTGCAGTAGCTCCCGGTCTTAATTCTGGAATGGGGACTATTCCAGGAGTTCAGAGTTACAGGTATGAATTAAGAAAATAAGAACAAAAGGTTACTTAAGGATATATATGCAAATTGTTAAGTGATTGTCAATTCAGCCCCATTGTGTTACTCTCAAGCTTCTGGATGCTTTTCATTCTCGTCAGGCTGCTGTTTCAAAAGACTTTTTGGCCTGTGTAATGAAAATTATTAGCATTTGGTCAGAAAATTAACTTGAGTCCTAAGAAAGTAAGGTTGTGTCAGTTAAGAGGAAAAGAATTTACAGCTATTTAATAACATGAAAAGAGGTTGCCATAATAAAAGATAATTGGTTTTGGAGGTCTGTCACTGCATGGTACGACTATGGGCATTTAATGGTACAAAGAAGCTCCTTTGGGGAAGTTTGCTGAAAGGAAGGCAGTTTGTTTGGTTGGAGTTGGGGACTGGGTGAGAGCATGAATGTAGTGAGAAAGGACGGAAGGTTTCACCCGGTCTGTGTGCGTCGTATATTTACGAATAAACATTAACTTCTGATTAAACTGCATGTCACTTGCTGCTATGTAATTTGGTTTTGTGCTTGAAAAATAATTACTGCTGATTCTAACCTACATTTTTCATTGTTATTTTTACAGAGTGGATGAGAAAACCAAAAAGTATTGTATTCCATTTGTTAAACCAAATAAACATTCTCCATCAGGCATTCATAACATTAATGTGACCACATCAGTAAGTGAACTTTTCTCAGTGGTAAAAGGGCAAGCAAAATCATGCCTCGACTTTTGTCAATATTAAATATGATAGTGAAGAACTAGAATTTTATTTGGAGACAGATCATAAAATGGAACCTTAAGTATGCATGTATCTTTCCAGCCTGCCATAATCCTAAATGTTTAAGTCTTAAAGTTTAAGTAAGTTTTACAAAGTATTATAAGTCTGGAAGTTAAAATGTAAGATGTTATTAAAATGATGTCTGTTTTAATTCTTTAGGTAATAGTAAATTTTCTTAGCTTAATGCTAGGTGATCAATTCTTTTTTTAGAGTAGAGGAGAGGATAAATTGTTTCATCTCACCATTAGGTTTTTGGTGAAAGTATTCTATTTCTTCATTTAACATATTCATTGATTATCTATTATGTATAAGACACTGAAGATGAATAAGTCAATCTTTCTCTTCAAGAAGCTGATGGTCGGAGTAGAGAGTCAGCAAATTAAATCATAGTGTCAGATTGTAACAGTAGAAGCATGTACAAGGTTTGTAGATCTTCTGAAGCCTCAAAGGAACATTATTGTTTTCCAGATAGCTTCTTTTCAAAGTTAAATCATCTTCACTCTTCCATTCAAAACCCTCCATTGGCTTCTCATCTCTGAGTAAAGACCGAAGCCCCTGAATGACTCACCCCGCATCCGTCTGTCCCATTCACGGCGACTCTCATTCTTGGTCAATCTATGCCAACCACACTGATTTCCTTGTTATTCCTGGAACATGGCCAGATATGCTCCCACATTTATTTTTTGCACTTGTTGTTTCCTGTGCTTCAGAACATTCTTTCCCCAGATAATCCAAAACATTTGCTTTTTTCTTTTCCTTGGCTTACATGAAACCTTATTACGTGCTCTTCCCTAATATAACTCACTTTGTCTCCCATTACTTTCTATCCCTTCACCTTGCTTAATTTTTTTCCAGTATGTATGTTTGACATTCTCTATATTCTCTTATTTATAATATTGTCTCTCCCCCCCATAAAATGTAAGCTTCCAAGGCAGGAATTTGTGTGTTGTTTCCTCACCGCTCTACTCCACACTTAGAACAGTGTCTAGCACATTGAAACTGCTTAAGAAATATGAATGAATTCTTTTGCCAAGCAAAGGGAGGTTTGGACATATTCCTAAAAGAGTATTTTTCTGACAAATTTCCTTCTCTACTTTTTGACTATCCCCAGGTCTGAAAAATATAGCCTTTCTTTTCAACTGTCATGATTTAGACACTGTGTTAGTTTGTCTTTTAATTTTCCTTAGCCTACACTTTCTATACCCATAGTACATTCATTTTGACATACCCTATCTTTTGATTTCTTTATGGATATTTTGTTTTACATTCCTGATCTGCTTTGGAAGATTATTTTTCTCAGCAAGGCTTTTCAAAACAGCTGGCTCAATACCATTTTTCTGGAATTGATACCACCCTCCTATCAGGTATTGCATAACCAACACTGGCTAGTAATTTTAGATCTTATTTCTCTTTTTTCTTCTTTAGAAGAGGCAATCAAAAAAAGAGGGTAAAGATTAGTGGGGGAAAGCCCCACTGGAAAATTAATGGAGGCCGAGCTAAGCCTGTACTTTCTTCTATTTCTAGGTTGAAGATCAATACCCCTCCTCATCCCCTAATTCTGAGATGTAAAAAAATATATTTTATTATAAATATCTCTTATGTATTTTATTTGCCACTCTATGAATGTGTAAATCTAGTAGTTTGGACTCATTATTTTTTTTGTATTTGCAGGTAGTTTCTTTAACTCATTGTTTTTATTCTGTATCTGATTTGAACCAAGAGCCTTAACACTTACTCTATTAAAAGAGCAAACAGAAATATCCAAAAGAAAGAAACTGAAAAGCTCACTTCAGGACTTCTGAAGACTTTCTGGGAGGCAGAGTGGCATAATTCACAGAATATTAAACTTGAGATGTCAAGGAACCTTGAAGGCTTAATGCCATCATTATATTTGTTTATGTGTGTATTTCATTATACATACATACATATGTACCTACACATACTATATGATTTCATGACTTATAGGTGTTTTTTCTTCTAGCAAGTCACACACTCTTTCTATGTATCATCTGTTTTGAAAATGTGAGGGAGAGTATAGAGTTTTAGTCAATCTCAAATGAGACAGATTGGAAAAATGTCAAACTCGTAAAGGTGCAGAGTTGAAGTGCTACTGCTATCCTTCACTTTATTATTTTTTCAGACTTTATCAACAATGTAGTAATGATACTAAGAAAGATTAGAAAAAGAATCGAAGCTGTTGTTCTTTACTGAATAAATTGTTCCCAGGAGATGGTATAATGTGCTAACTCTGAGGAGCAAGACAAGGACAAATATTTTTATAAAGGAGTAACAAGATTATGTTGGGAAAGCAAAAAACAAGCTAGGACAAGTGATATATGCAGCAAGATAAACTGTTCAAAATTAAGCAACTCTATGCTGAAAAGCTCAGCAAGTGTCATAAGCCCTCACCTTGCTGGCCTGATGCCCCTCTTTTAACCTTTTCCTGGTTGCCAGGACTTAACGGAAGGTAGGGAAAGGGAGAAGGAGAAACTCATATCAACCACTAATCCACTTGTTAGCATTAAAATAGATTTACTGAGGAAGAAGTTTGAAATAATTAGATAAAATTGTTTTTTGTGTTATTGATGTTCCTCAGATTTAGTATTATTCTAGACCTTCAATTGCACAAATTTTAGAATATGAATGTAGTATTTACAAAAGGGACAAGTTCAGCCTACCTAGAAGCTAATTCATTTGTGAAATCATTCTGATGATATTAGGTCACCAGTGAAAAGAGCCTTCTTCAGGCAAATCGGAAAAGAAGAGATGTCCATTTGCCTGAATTAAACTATAACCATCTCCCTGAACTAAGAGCCTTGGAAGGCATAGGTATGTTTATAATGCTTTTACTTTTTCAGCCCTTTTGTTTATATTATTTAAAATGCATGTTCAATGAACAGAATATTAAAAATTTATAATTGCTTTATATATTAAAGTATGTAAATATGTACGTACTTATATACAGTTAGTACATACAGAGGAACATATATAGAATGTGAAAAACTAATAAAAATGTCTAATTTTTGCACTGTGTTTATGGTTATTTTTATTCAGCTCGAAATTCCAGGCTAATAAGGAAAGAGAACAAAAATCTTTCAGAATCTCGAATTCCTTCCCTGGCTGCTATTGACTTGCATGCCTCCAGTGTTGCATTGCCTCAGGTACAGAAATACTCCTTGTAGGTTGCATGGAACTTGGGTCTCTCTCATACTTCCTATTACAGTATTGTAGGAAGAGTTTGCTCTTAAGGATTGGGAGGGTTTGTTGCTGGGATCTATACAATTTTGCTTGTTAAATTTTGCTTTATGGTTCATTGAACTTAGCACTTTCATTACATATATATTTATATAAACACTTACCAGCTTACAGTAAACAATTTTTTATGATTAAACATGTGTCTGTGTAGCCTAGCTTTGGCTTTCATATAACAACAGGTTTTGTGGTAGCTTATAGTATTTCATTGCATTAGCTTCGAGGTTACAACCTTTCTTTTCTTAAGTATATTTTATTGATGGTGTTCTTACAGTTGTCCTGCTTTTTCTCCCTTTGCCCCACCTTACCCCCGTCTCCGCCTATCCTTCATCAATCCCCTCCCTTAGTTTATGTCCATGGATCGTGCATATAAGTTCTTTGGCTTCTCCATTTCTTATACTATTCTTAACATTTCCCTGTCTATTTTGTACCTACAATTATACTTTTTAATACCTGCACCTTTTCCCCCATTCTACTCCTCCTCCCTCCCAGCTGATAACCGCCCAAATGATCACCATACCTATGATTCTGTTCCTGTTCTGGTTGTGTGCTTTTTTTCTTTTAATTCAGTTGTTAATAGTTGTGAATTTGTTGCCTTTTTACTGTTCATAGTTTTGATCATCTTATTTTTCTTCAATAAGTCCCTTAAACATTTCATGTAATAATGGCTTGGTGATGATGAACTCCTTTGGCTTTACCTTGTCTGGGAAGCACTTTATCTGCCTTTCCATTCTAAATGATAAAGTAATCTAGGTTGTAGGTTCTTGTTTTTCATCACTTTGAATACTTCTTGCCAGCAAAATTTCTTTGAGAAATCAGCTGATAGTCTATGGGTACTCCTTTGTAGGAAACTAACTGCTTTTCTCTTCCTGCTTTTAAGATTTTTCTCTTTATCTTTAACCTTTGTTATTTTAATTATGATGTGTCTTGGTGTGATCCTGTTTGGGTACAACTTGTTTGGGACTCTGTACTTCTTGGACTTGTATGTCTATTTCCTTCAGCAAATTAGGGAAGTTTTCTCTCATCATTTTTTGAAATAGATTTTCTTTTTTTTAAAGATATTTATTTATTTATTTATTTATTTATTTATTTATTTTAGACAGGGGAAGGGGGAAGAAAGAGAGGGAGAGAAACATCAACGTGTGGTTGTGTCTTGCCCACCCCTTACTAAGGACCTGACCTTGACTGCAGCCCGTCCATGTGCCCTGACCAGGAATCAAACTGGTGACCCTTTGGTTTGCAGGCCAGCACTCAATCCACTGAGCCACACTGGCCAGGGCTCACATAGATTTCCAATTTCCTTCTCTTCCTCTTCTTCTGGTAACCCTATGTTTCAGATTTTGGCACTTTTGGAGATGTTCTAGAGTCTTATATTGTCCTCATTTTTTTTGGAATTATTGTTTTTTCTTTCTGTTCGGGTTGAATGTTTATTTCTTCCTTATGTTCCAAATCATTGATTTGAATCATGGCTTTCTTCCTTTCACTGTTGGTTCCTTGTATATTTTTCTTTATTTCACTTAGTATAACCTTCATTTCTTTCTTTATGTTGTTGCCATACTCAGTGAGTTCTTTGAGCATCCTGATCATCAGTGTTTTGAACCCTGCATCTGATAGGTTCGCTATCTCCCTTTTGCTTAGTTCTTTTTGGGGGGCTTTGTTCTGTTCTTTCATTTGGGCCATATTTCTTTGTCTCCTCAATTTGGCAGCCTCCTTGTGTTAACCTCTGTGTATTAGGTAGAGCTGCTTTGACTCTCTGTCTTAGTAACATGGCCCATTGTAGAAAAGGCATTGTAAATTGTGTGGGGCAGAGCCTTAGGTAATCACCAGGGTGGGGCAATGCACTTCACTTCTTTGTGTGAAAAGAGAGGGGAGGAGACTGTATTTCTGCCTGGCTTCTGGAGGTTTGCCCAGCACTTGCCATATTTCTAGTCACTTTACCCACTCCCCGTATGGGACTGGCATGAGCTTACAGCTGTTGCCCTGGTGTTGAATCCCAGAACTGGTGTGTTTTAATACATTTTGAGACCGTTTGGGCCCTTTATGCAGAATTTCCTGAAATCTGGCAGTTTCTTCTGCTGCCCCAGCCCCTACTGGTTTTTACAGCCAGAAGTTACAGGGATTTATTTCCTCGTGCTGGAACTCTGGGCTCTGTGGTACGGCTTGGGGCTGGAATTGCCTTCTCCAAGGTATCCCTCCTGATTTTCATCCACCACACATGAATGTGGGACCACCTGTGCCCATTGCGCCGCTGCCGCGGCCACCACTTCTCTGTGCCGCAGCACCCTGCCTCTCTGCCCTTTCTCCACATCTCCATCCCTCCTACCCATCCGGATGAATGTGGTTTCTTTACTCTTCGATTGTCAGACTTCAGTACAGCTTGATTTTCTGATAGTTCTCGGTGTTATTTCTTTTGAGATTTAGTTATTTTTGTGGTTTTGCAAGGGGAGAAACAGATTTACCTCTGCCTCCATCTTGACCCTGCACAAGATCTGGGCAAAACAGCTGCTTCCAGTCATGGCTGGCCAGGCAAAATATCCACCTATAACTTACCTTTCAAAGAGTAAAACTCTGAAATTGTTTTTATCCTTTTAAAATGTATTGTCTGTTTGACACTTTTCCCCAGGATGATGGAACCCATCCATGTTAAAGATTTGCTACTCTCTATAGTCATTTTTTTTCTAAAATTTCTCTTAACTCTTAAGAATATTGATGTTTCTGCTACTTTTGTATCAATAACAGTTTTACCACTCATTTTCACATTAAGGAAACTTGCAAACTTTTTAATCTCCTGAGCCAACCACAACTTGCTACAAATTTTGGATATGTATCATTGTCCTTTCTGTTACTTGATCAGATTTCTCACCTTTGCTTGATGCTTGGAAATTTTTATTTTCAAATTAAGTTTTCCATCCTCATTATTTAAGCATTTTCATTTCATAGAGAACAACTGTGTGTTGCCTCTTTATATATGTGGATGCTTTTTTCTATTGTTACTCCATAAATAATTTTCTACTGTTACTCCTTAAATATTGTTGAGGATAAATGACAGAGCCATCTACCCAGTGATACTGAGAAAAAGTTTTATTGACTGCCGTGCTTTGCCTCATCCCTTGCCAACAGTTTCTATAGCCACATAATCAAAACCAGACAAATTCCTCTCATGTGAAGATTAATCACTGTGACAGATTTTACATTGACAAACTACATAGTCTCAATAAATTCCTTGTATACTTATAAACTTAAATTTAATATGGATTGTAAAGGTGCAGAAATTTTCACCTGTTCTTTGAGAGGGCACCATTGTCCAAAACCACTTTTCAGGGTTGACATAACCATATCCAGTTTCAATCAAAGGAAGAAAAAGCTTTGGTTGCCTTCACGCTTCTTCAGTATTTTTATTTCTTCTCTTGAACCAATCTTTTTATACATTTAAACTAGTTCTGCATTTTTACCCTCAATTTACTTGCTCAACTTCCAGTTCTATTTAAAATACAGTAAACAAGAAAGTGAGTGTAGTGAAAAACACAAATTAACACCAAAATAACATGAGCTTATGTATGGAGTGAGAAAACACCAGGAGACTGAGAGCAAAAGACCTTCTGGCAGGAGCTGTTACTTGCTTTGCACTCTTATAATACTGTATGTATGTATTCATCATGCATTGAACTCTGTTTCATTTCTGTACATAACACAAAAATTTTCACATTTATAGAAGTCTATTATGTGCCTTCTGAAAAAATCCATAAGACAGATTTTTTTGTGTGTGTGAGTGAAGTGTTACATAATCCATGGAGCCTTTCCCCACTCCCTCACCCCCTACACACTTACTCAGGTTATGTGCTTGTACACATAACAACACATTTCTTTTCTATAAGCACTGTTGTAGCTTTATCCCACAAATTTTGAAAGGTTGTAGTTTCATTATCACTCAGTCCCAGTGTTTTCTTATTTCCCTTGTAATTTCTTCTTGAACACATGAATTATTTAGAAATGTTTGTTTAATGGTTAGATATTTGGGGTTTCCCTAGACATTTTATTACTGATTTCTAATTTAATTCCATGTGATCAGAGAATATACTGTGTATGATTTTGATGCTTTTAGATTCATTGAGACATGTTTTATAGCCCAGCATATGGTCTATATTGGTGAATGAACTTTGCTCCCTTGAAAATAATGTATATTCTTTAGTTGTTAGATATAATGTTCTATAAATATGATTATATTAAGGTGGTTAATAGTGTTTCAGATCTTCTATGTCCTTAATGATATTGTTGTTGTTGTTTAGTTCTATCAGTTACTGAGAGAATGCAGTCAAAATCTTTTATGATGATTGTGGAATTGTCTATTTTTCTCTGTTAATTTTTGCTTCATGTATTTTAAGTCTCTATTTTTAGTTACATTACATACACACTTAACAACTGTTTTGTCTTCCTGATATGTGTCCCTTTTATCAATATGACATATCTCTCTTTATCTCTGATAATGTTCCATGCCTTGAAGTCTATTTTATCTGAGATTAAAATAGACCCTCTAGCCTACATATACTTATGTTTTTTATGGTATATCATTTTAGTTTTCATTTACTTTCAACCTATATGATTTTTATATTTAAAATGTTCCTTTTCCAACAGCATATGAGTAGGGTGTCTTTCCTGTGTATCCATTCTGTCAATTCCAGTTCTTTTAATTGGAATGTGTATTAGTTTTCTTTGCTGCTAAAAAATTAGTACCCGCTTGAAACAATATGCATTTATTATTTCACAGTTTCCATGGGTCAGAAGCCCGGGCAAAGCTGCTTTTCTCCTTAAGAGTCTCATAGGCTGAAATCAAGATGTCAGCAGGGCTGCATTTCTTTCTGGAGGTTCTAGTGGGGAATCCATTTCCAGGCTCATTCAAGTTATTGGCAGAATTTAGTTCCATGTGGCTGTGGGACTGAGGTCCCTGTTTCCTTGCTGGCTGACACTGGGGATTGCGCTTAACTTCCAGAGGCCACCCCCATTCCTTGGCTCATGGCTTAGTTCCACCATCTTCAAAGGCAGCAACAGTGGCTGAGTCTTTGTTATTCTTTGATTCTCTCTGATCTCCTCTTTGCCTTATCCTTTTGACTCACTTTTCTGCTTTTAAAGGTGCATGCGATCACTTTGGGCTCAGCAGGATAACCTGACCTATCTTAAGATCGGCTGACTAGTAACATTAATTTCACGTGCAAAGTCCCTTCACACAGAAGCTAAATTAGTTTGATTGACTAACCAGGGATAGGTATCTTAGGGGGATAGCTTTAGAATTCTGACTACTCTTGAATATTTAAGCCATTAACATTTAATGTGACTCTTAATATGTTTGGGTCTAGCTCTGTTTTTATTATTATTATTGTTTGTTTCTTATTTGTTCCTCTGTTTTCCCTTTTGAGCCTTCTTTTGTATTTGAATATTTTTAGTGTTGGTTTTTGGAGGGAAACACATCCAAAATGTTTTAGTCATGTAGGGGATACAGTATATATGCATAACTAATCTTTCACAGCCTTCTTAGAGTAAATATTAGGCTACCAATAAAATACAGAAACTTTGCAAACATACTTCCCTTCCCACCACTTGAACTTTATGTTAGAGTTACATGTATTTTATTTACATACATTGAAAACTCTACCACACTATGTCATACTTTTTGCTGTAAACAGTCATAAGTATTTTTGAAAATTTATGAGAAAAAAGTAGTCTTCTATATTTACCTAGCTACTTACTGTTTCTATTTTTCCTTTTTTTAAAATCCTCAACCAAGAATATGTTTTTATGTTATTTTAGAGAGAGGGAGGGAGAGAGAGAGACAGACATTGTGAGGCATTGATGTGAGGGAGAAACATCAATTGGTTGCCTCCTCTATGCACCCCAACTGGGGATCGGACCCACAACCTACGTATGTGCCCTGATGGGGAATTGGTCCTGCAACATTTTGGTGCATGCGAGAACACTCCAACCACCTGGGCCGCCCAGCCAGGCCCTTCCTTTTTTCTTAAAGATTACAGTATTATTTCTTAGTATTTTCCATCCACCTGAAAAACTTCCTCTAGCATTTCTTGCATAGTAGGTCTCATGGTGACAATTTTTTTTTTTTAGTTTACCTTAATTTGAGAATGTCTTTATTTTGCTTTCATTCCTGAAGTATATTTTCACTGGATATAAAATTTGAGTTGGTAGGTTGTTTTATTTATTTATTTATTTAGTCCCAGGAATATAAAGATGTTATTCCTCTACTTTCTGATCTCTATTATTTTGGGGGTGGGGCAGGGGTGGGGAATTGTTAAGCATTTAAATTGTTATTCTCCTCTGTGTAATGTTTCATTTTTGGGGGGCTGCTTTCTATGTTCAGCAGTTTAAATATCATGTGTCTAGGCATATTTTCCTGTTTTTTGTTGTATTTTGTTTGGTGTTTCCTAAGCTTCTTAAATGTGTAATCTTATCTCTTTTGCCAAATTGGGGAAATTTTTAGTCATTATTTCTCAAAATTATCTTTTATGCCACAATCTCTTTTCTCCTTCTGAGATTCCAATGAAATATATGTTAGATCTTCTGGCATTTTCTTACATGTCCCTGAGACTCTGTTCATTCTCTTCAATCTTTTTTCTCTTTATTTCTAAGACTGGGTCATTTCTATTGATCTGTCTTCCAGGTCTTTGATTCTTTACTTTATCGTTTGCATTCTTCTATTAAGCCCATCCAGTGAGGTTTTACAGTTTCAGTACTGTGCTTTTTAGTACTAAATATCCACTCAGTTCTTTTTTAAAGCTTCTGCTTTTCGACTAAGAATTCCTGCTACCAACTTAAACAAGTGTCATTTCAAGTATGTTTTCTTTCATCTCGTGTACTATAGTTATAATGGCTATTTTAAGGTATATATGTAAAGTTCCAACATTGGGGCCCCCCCAGGATTGATATTTGTTGATTGAATTGATCACACTTTCCTAGATGTTTTTATGGCCAGTATTTTGGATTGTGTCTAGGACATTGTGGATATTATGTTGTATAGCCTCAAGGTCCTGTTATAATACTCTAAAAAATGTTGAAATTTTTGTTTTAGTGGGTAGTTACCCTTTTGGTTCATACTGTAAATTCTGCCTTAACTTCTGTGAGAGGTGGTACAAATCTCAGTTCTCCAAGTATTTGATCCTAGTTTGCATCTGTCCTATACTTGTGTAGCTCAGAAGACTTGTGCAGGTGATTCAAATCTCAGCTTAGTTCTCTAAGCCTTTGCTGTGCTGGTTTGAGGCTATCCCATGCATGCATATCTCAGGCGTTGGACTGAGACTTCTGTGGGTTTATATACAGAACTAGAGGACCCCTTTCTCTAGTTTTCCTCCGTTTAGGATTCCCCCTATACTTTTTGTCCTGCAGGGATGCCTTTTCCTGGTTTCTCTATAAAGATGGCGCTTCTTTGAGACTGTTAGCCTGTCATACTTCCTCACTATTCTGGGACTTGGGTGGCTCTTTGGGTAAAGCCACGGGAGCATAAAACAAAATTGGAAACCTACCTCCCCAGAAAGCGTCACATATTCAGGTTTAGACTCCTCTCCTTAATCCTCGGTTGTTGTATTTTTAAAAAATTTTTCCCAAAGGGTTTTGTTTTGTTTGTTTGATAAAAAGTAGGAGAGGGGAGTTGTAGTGGTTAACACTGCCTTGGCAAATCAAAAGTGTCTTTTAACCTACGCATCGACAAAGAGGTCAAAGAATAACCTCCCCTTACTTCATCTTCTGCGCAAGCAGCTTGAGCTGTGCATAGTTAATTTTAAACATCTGGTATTTGAACAACAAGAATTGGGTGTTTGGGGAGTGGGACTTTTCCAGTAACTGAGGATCTATAATGCTCCATCATTAACTTACAGGTACCGGGATCTCCCTTGTCTGATGATTCAGAGGCTGACTTACCTCGAATGGAACACCAGTACTGACCGTCAATTTGGTTCTAAACTGGGTAGGTTTGCTTTCTCATATTTGAAGCTGTGTGACCTTTTGTGGGAAATATTTTGTTTATTTGTATATATGCAATGTGAGAGAGCAAGACAGAAATCTACAATAGAAAGATTTTATGTAAAATATTTGGTGGCATGTATTCCCCCTGTGCTTTTAGATGCTGCTCTAGCACTTGAGATGCAACTTGGAACAAAAGTGCTGATGTCCTGGGAGGAGATAAGCGTGGTTTTGATCATTTACTTCTGAACTGCTGGCATCTTCTGAGAAAGGCCCCACAGAAGGAAAGAAAAAAATTTCCAGGTGTTTTAAAGGAAGATTAAACAACTGTCCCTTCCCAACTGCCATCCTATCACCTTTCAAGTGACTGATGCTATTTCAAGTTATATCCAATGAGAGAATAGTGATATGGTTCTTGTTACTTGAATGTATATTTACTATTAGTAGATTGTGTATTTGAAGTTACCCAAGATTAAAAGTAAGTCAAAAAAATGGAGAAAGAAATATTATAAAAGTTCATGTTACTTATGCACTGAATTTTGGGTGTTTTCTATATTAATATGGACATTTATGTGGATGTGTGTTTGGTGGATGTGGGTGCTAAAAACTAGAATCAATTGAAGAAAATGAAAAAACTGGGATCAGTCAGACAAAATGTTTCCTTTACCCTAGCTGAACTATAAAAACATTTAAGAATCTTGCTTGTTTCTAGACTTTATGAAGATATGTAACTGCTCTCTATGGATAGATGTATTTCTTTGGTTTCTGTGATTGTTGTTGATGTTTGATCACTGTATCATGAGAACCTGCCTCTACTGCTCTCTGATGATCTCCTAAGAACCACACTAATGCAAGTTTCCCAAAGAAACCTTTTATTACTAAAGTACAGCTGGCACTGGATAGTTTTCTGCACTGTAAGATTTTGGTGCTAATGTTCCTATGTGCTGGAATGTGATTAGAACAAGAATGGTAAAGGAGAATTTTGTAGGTATACCCTGGAGTTGAATACTTAATCATTGACGAAAGATTGTGTACACACACACACACACACACAAATAGGAGATGGGAAGCAGGGTTACCAATTGACTAGGACTGGTTACTCTTCTCTGGGCCCATTGCTACTGAACTCCCCCACTGAGGAGGCTCGGGACAGGGGGCTGTCCATGGTTAGGGACTTCGCACCTAGCCACATGTAGTTTGAAGATGATGTTAGATAGAATATCTATATAAAATCCCAGAGGTGTTCCTGTCTTCTTGTATCCTCAAACACTTAGGCCTTCTGTAAAGCTTTTAACCAAGGTGCAAAATTATTAACCTGCAGTACACACATCTTTCCTATGCACTGGTCCACAAGTTTTAGGTGGGAGAGTTAAACCAATTTGGCTCCAGGCGTTTGGTTTCTGGGTCTCCAGTCATGTTCTGCATTTATCACTTTAGAGACTGGTTTTTATGGGGGCCAGAATTTGTGTGTGTGTGTTTTTGGGTTTTTTTTTTTTGCCTTAACCAATTAATAGTGTGTTGTTGTTTTTTCCAAAAGAAATTGACTAGAACTTAGACCAAGATTTTACCTAGCACTTTATTACTTATCCTGTAGAGCTCAATACTGAAATTCTAAATATAGTTACTTGAGCCTCAAAAAAGTAGGGCATTCAGGAGGCAAAGTAAGGGGCTGCAATGTAAAAGTCTAAAATGATCTTGATTTTGAAGCTCTATCTTTAACCTCTGTTCAGGTGTTTGATGAGACCAGGTGTGGCTAACATGCTAAACAAAGTTAGGGCATAGGCATTAATAAGCCTCATATCAAAATATTATTTTTACCTTGAAAAATGTTGCCAACAGCCACCACAGCATAAAAAGCAGACAGTACCTAGAAGCCGAGTGGCTTTCCAGCTTATTTCAATGTCATTTTTACTTAAAGATCAGTGTGAAAATATCACCTCAATGCCTGAGGGTAGGATGAGTTACCTTTTCATTCTATATTTCCTTTTGGTATCTTTTATCTGTTAAAACATTTAGTGAACTTTAGAGTTAAGGAACTAAAAATTATTACTATAAGTCCAAGCTGGGACTTGAGGATCATATCTGGTTAGAAAGTTGGCAGAACTACTTGAAAAAGAAGATTTTGCGAACTGGGGCTATAGACACTGAACTAAAATAATCCCCCTCCCCTTTTTTTTAGTTTAAGATTACTCTTGTCTTTCCTTACAAGGATATGATTAAGTCACGTACTAATAGGAAACACGTATATGTACGTGTTAAGGAAAATAGGCTTGCTGTGCATATATATGTTTTAAAATGAATAAATATCATGTTATTGAGTTCCATAGATAATTTTTATTAATTTAATTAATAGACTATAAACAATGTAAACAACACTGTATGTTATTTAACAAAGATGTTTGAAATAATCTATTCATTCTTTGGGGGAAACTTTGGATATAAGGATGATAAGTTAATGTTTTTTTTGTATAGCTAGTGATACAAGCAGTCTGGTTATAAAGTAACAGGTCTTGTAAAAACTACCTAGTGAAAGTCGGGACCGACCCAGGCTTAGAAACTGGTTCTCCTGATCGAGAATCCCTTGCTTGGTTAGAATAGCTGACTTTTCATTGAAATAGAAACATAGCTGATGTGTTGTCTTGTGTGACTCTGTCATTATTTGTTTCTTTATCTTAATTGGGCTTCGACATAAGACTGGATCTATATTCAACTATGAGTCAGATTAGATTGAAAAATGCGGCTGACTTATTTTCTACGCCTGCCTCTATATAACCTAACCACGGGCAGAGAACTAGAAATACCAGGGTCACTGCTCCCAGGGGTTTAAGGCTAGTCTTAGTGAACTGGACTACGTGGTTTTCTGTATCATTTTGTATTGTGTTTTTACGTTAGAAATGGGCCTTTAACACTTCTCTATGTGAATGAAAAATTATGTTCTTACATTGCTTTTTAAAGAATCTTATTTTTTCTTTTGATAGCTTTAGATATGAACTAACTTGAAAATGTAACTATCAGTGTATCTGTTTCTGAACATGTCCTCCTGAGAAGTACCTGACTGCAAACCTTGGCATCACTTGTTATCACTTCTATGTAACTTGTGATTTAGAGTTTTGTGTTTGTTTGTAGATATTTGGGAATACCTGACATTGAATGTATTATACATTGAGAAATTTTCTTTAAAAAACAAAAAGAAAACAAAAAACCATCTATAAAATGTCACTCTCCTTCACTTTCAGTAAAATATTATTCCCCCCATTGCATAGCCTTACTTATTTATTTTTTAAAAAAAGATTTCATTTACTTGTTTATTGAGAGAGAGGGGAAGGGAGGGAGAAAGAGAGGGAGAGGAACATCGATGTGCAAGAGATACATTGATTAGTTGCCTCTCGCATGCCCCCAAGTGGGGACCCAGCCTGCTACTCAAGCACGTGCCATAACTGGGATTTGAACTACTGACCTTTCAGATCTCAGGCTGTCACTCAATCCACTGAACCATAAGCCAGGGCACATAGCCTTATTTAATCTCTTCTTGTCCTACTTTGTCATGCAGGGTCATCTCCAGTAGAAGTGACGAAGGTGCTAACAGAATTTTGGAAAATGTACTCTTGGTTAACATGAATAAAAATAGGAATTAGAGAAATGACATAAAAATATCTCAAGTCAGCATGTTTTCCTGTTTCTAGATTAGGGTAGGATCCCCATCAGCCAAGTGAACAGGTTTTTTATGTCACTTTGTGTCCATTCAGCTATCTCCTTGCCTCTAGATCTGGAAAGTCATCTCTATTAATGTTGCTGCTAGAATTAAAAAATTACCCCTTCACCGCATGACAACAATGTTTCAGTTGGTCACTTCCCTGTTTTCAGCCTTCTTCCTTGGATCATCTCTCCTTTTGCTTACATATGTACCTACTTGTCTGTCTCCTCACTAAACATACTTTTAAGTAGAAAATCTGTTTATTAAGTTGGTCCTAGTCCCTCGAGAAGAGTCAGAGCCAGGTTCTGAAGGCACCTGGGCAAGAGCAATACCCGATGGCACTGCCTCATTAATTTTTCTGTGTTTCTGAAGATTGGGAACCACACTCTACTTTTTTGCATTCCACACCATCTGGCACAGTGATTTCTATGTGACAATAGTAATAATATTCCTATGAAGGTAGGGATATTAGTCATATGTTATAGGCAAGGTTATAGGCCTAGAGAGTTTAAGGAATTTACTCAGTGTCACTCAATAAGTGACAGAGCCATGCATGTTTGTTGAAGTAAGTGTATAGTCATTATTTAGATCTGGTACCAATTTAAGAAACATTTTGTTTAGATAGTACAAACTTTGGGAGCTTTGACTCCTGGAGCTCTTTGCTTCCTCATTCACTTAGAGAGGAGGAAGTGTGTCCCTCCAGCCCTCAAACAAAACTTCACTCTGATTGAGCCAAAGGTGATACTGCTCACTTTGAATCCAGCACTGGAGCTGGGGGAATGGTATGTGCGGATTAGTTTAGCTTGGGCCTCTGTTTTATTTCTTTGTCTGAATTAATAATGGGAGCTAAAGGAAATAGGATTATGCTGATTGGCTCAGGCCAATGACAGCGTACCCAAGGACCCACCTGGCTCCTGCAAAGGCCTGGCGGTAAAGAGCAAGGATGCAGGAGAATCCATCGCAGTGCTCGCCAGAGGTGGACACTTCAAAGGGCCTGCAAAAGGTATGTTTCATTTTATTTTTTTTAGTCCCCACCCTAGGATATACTTATTAATTCCAGAGAGAGAGAGTGAGAGAGAGAGAGAGAGAAGAGAGAAACATCGATGTGAAAGAAACATCAATTGATTGCCTCCCGCATGTGCCCTGACGGCGGGGGGCGGCGGGGGGGGGGTGCGGGGCTGGACCCACAACCCAGGCACGTGCCGTGACTGAGAACCGAACCCGTGACCTCTCGAGGTTCCAACCAATTGAGCCATACCGGCAAGGGCTCATTTTAGATTTAGACTGATTCTGCCAAATTGTCCTCCAAAAATCCTGTACCAATTTACATCCCATCAACAGTGTATGAGAAAGTCTATTTCCCCAAATGGGAACATTTGAAATATTAATAATTTCTTTTTTTACCAATTTGATACATGAAAACTATTTTGCTTTAGTTTACATTTTCTTGATTACTACTGAGGTTATACATATTTTATATTTTTTATTTTTATCGATTTATTGACCATTTGAGCTCCTTCTTCTGTGACAAAAAAAAAAAATAAAGGTCATTTAAAAAGAAGATTTTAGCTTGCCTATTAAAGATTTTCCTCTGTTGATGGTTCTCTTACCTCTGGAAAACAAAGGCAAACACCAGATTCAGATAATATAGTTTGGCTCAAAATATATTGTAGATCAAAAATTATTTTGGCCCTGGGTGGTATGGCTCAGTGGATTGAGTGCCAGCCTGTGAACCAAAGGGTCACTGGTTCCATTCCCAGTCAGAGCACACGCCTGAGTTGCGGACCTGGTCCCTGGTGGGAGGTGCACAAGAGGCAACTAACACATTGATGTTTCTCTCCTTCTCTTTCTTCCTCCTTTCCGTTCTCTCTAAAAAATAAAAATAAATAAAATCTTTAAAAAAAAATTATTTTGTACTTGGAAATGCAAACTAGCCAGAGAAATGTATTGCGGTTTTAATTACACTTTTCTTCTTAAGTAAGGTGATCAGGTCCCCTTTCTTCTGTTGGATAATGGAAGGGAATAAATTAATGAGAGAAAACATCCCTTTGATAGAGGGGTGAAGGAAAAGTCAGTTCTGCTTGAAAGGACAAATTATTTAAGGAGAGTTCTGAAACACATGAACTTCGGGGTGGCTGCAGTTGGCCTTAGATCTATTTCACTGAGATGACACCCTCCTCCTTTGGCTCTGCCCAGTGCTTCCAACCCATGATCCAGGAGGTGACAGGAAAGCCCCACTCACTGTAATCCATATCCTTACCAAGGGGAAAAATGCTAAAAACCTATGATGAATTTTACTTGAGGGGTATTATCTGTTCCTTTTATACACACGGGAAACAGCCTTTTTTTTCTTTTTTCCATTTTTAAGGGCCCGATATTAAGGAGTGCTTAATCTATGTGAGCTGATGGCAAGGGAGAATTTGAATACCTACAGTAAATGGTCCACCAGATGGTACCACCAGTGGAGTGGCGCACCCTAGTGGACATTGATAGTTAAAACACTCTGAGTCTGCTTTTTCAGGAGTTTCAGGGGTTTTTAGAGTGTAGTGGGAACAGAAGAGACCA